TGTTCATGCGCTTTGCAACCAGAACTTGGAACCCTCATATGCGCTTCCACACCAGTATGTATACGTGTGTGTGTGTGTCTATGTTTGTGCTCACACGGGACTTGGGAGGCCATCGACCGACAGGCTTGGAGGCGCTTCTCCCTATCCTGGGTCCAGTCTTGCGTCCGGGAAATCGGACAGCCGGTGTATCGTGTACGACCAACGGAGGCTTCACCTTGCGTCAGTCACTGCGTTGACTCGAATAAACAACTAGGCCATACAGCAGGGAACAGGAATTACGTCGATTCGACCAAGAACAGGAGTTTGTTTTCAGTCCAACGCGCTTTTAAGGTATAATGACACATCAACAGTACTGGTTTGTAGGGTACACCCTACTGACAGTCTGGCTGGGTCCAGCTAATGTGGCCCTAGTGGAACCTCCTTTCCCTTGTGATACACGCTCTCTGCTCCCAAGTAAAGTCACGCACGTGTGGAGTTGGGTACCAGTTTGCCCGTATAGCCGAACCATGTTTATCTTCATCGGTTTCTTCGTCGATTCCCAGCTTCGGTCTTCTTTATTTTCTCGTGGCGCAGACAATAGTCAGCCTTACAAAGGGCAAATTCTTGGAAGCAATGGCTGACTTCGTCGCCACCTTTAATGGTCGAATTAGCGTATACGCGCGGCGGTTCCTGGCTTTTGGTTGCACGCCTCATCTAAGTATTTTCTTTGTCTGTTAGGGCCACCTGATTCTGCTTTACCAGCTTATCTAACACAGCGTGTGTCTTTAGCTCTAAAACTCGACGGAGTTTTACGATGGCATGAAACGCAATCCAACCGATAGTACACAAAACAATTATCAGTATTAATTCAGATCATTAGAAATTAGTCGCTTAGTAAACTGGAGACGGAATCAAACGGCCAACTTCTCTATTTCGCGTCGTATGGCCTGCTCTCACGTCGACAGCCATACCTAAACTACCAATACGTACTTGCCTCTCAATCTCAGGACTAGTTCCCCAGAGCGTCTTCGCACCGATTTAAACCAAGACAACTGCCCCCCCCCGCACTTCCTGATGACATACTTTCTTTGTTTCCCCTTTTTCCTATCAGACCTACGAATGAGGTTGTGCGTCTTCTTCTCTCCCGCGCCATCCCCTCCGGTCTCAGCGCTGCGGACGACCTCCTCTCGGTGACAGCCCTGCACTACTGGGGCTGTCCGGGTCGTCAGCACTCTCAACGCTTTGCTTCCATCCTCGGTAACATGATCAATGCTGCCGTAGCAGGTCTGAAGGCGGCTGCTGATCGCGAGACGAGTAGCGACAACTCCCGTGAAAAAAAGCGAAATGGTGTTCGGTAAGCTGCTGAAAAACAGACACACCTCCCTCCCCCCTTCCCTCCAGCGCATTCTTGCTGTTGCCTTGATTAGCTGTATCGCCTGCCTGTAGACGCTAGCGCGTGCTATACAGCCTATTACATAAGCATTCACGGCTGGCCCTAGGCAGAACCTTGCAGTTCTCTGCAACATTTGTATGAAGGAGTTTCGTAGTAACCTGCGTCACCTGATCTATTTGACCTGGCCTTCTCTGAATCTAAAACTGACTCTAAGACACGTAGCTTGAAATACGCCGATTCTCTTGGTTACAGCTTTCTGGTAAATTTACGTTGCCTGCCGATATTAATTGTGTTTGCAATTTTTAGTTTGTCTGCGATCTTTAGGTTATTACTTCAACATCTGCTTGTATGCCCTTTTGACGTAATTCTACTACTGACGGTTACTACTGCCTTTGTAAATCCCGCTATAGACGCCCCTTTTTATAAATCATTACTACACCCATATTACGATTGTGATTTCAGTAGCGTATTTGTAGTAGTAAATTGAATGGTGTTTGTGCTATCGCTAATCAGCCGACGGTTAAGATCCAGGGTAGTACATAATACTTTTGAAACCATTCACTCGTTTTCTCTTTTGACCACCTGTGATTTAACCATCACCACTGTCTCCTGGAGATTATTTTACCGTTCAAATACACGTTGCGTGAAGAACAGGAATTACAGGTCAAGTGCATTTGCGTTGTCCGTCTGTGGAGGCGAGGACAGATGTGCGACTGAAACATTATTATCGAATCCAAATCATTTTTCAAAGGTTGGGGTTATTTTGTAAACAGGGCAAGACTTACGGCATCTCGATCCTGCGAGATGAAGCGGTTTTTGAGTTGTCTGATGTGGTACTGTTTTGAAGAGTGTTCTTTTCGAACGTTATTCTTCAGGCCCTGAATGGCACACTGGCAGTAATGTCTATTAATTGTGATAAACTCTATCAAAAAGGTTTTTTGAGGAGGTGCACACTTCTTTTTGATGGCACGCTGGACGCCAGTCTTATTTTACAGACGCGTCTATTAGTCCAATAATTGATTAAGTGGCATTCGAGTGAGAAGACCTGACGTTGCTGGGCGCAAGTGGGGCACCCTGCGTGTACATTAATTTAACTTTAGTAGTTCCCACTCAGACCAATTCTGTGGTCGACGGAGATGATTTCGAGGATTTATTTCGCCGACTAAAAATGGGCAGAGCCTAGATCGGATGCCATCCTGTTAGTGCTCTCTTTTTGCGCAACCTCTGTTTCTTGTCCATCTTTTCATTGTTGAAGAGTTTGTGTACGAGAGGGGGAGGGGGGAAGTGACTGTATGTTGATTGTCGGGGTTGATATGATAGATATTTTGATAGATAGAGAACTATATTTTGATGATAATATCAAAATTTTCAGCAA